AGAGAGACAGAGAGAGTAAGAGAGAGGTTCATCATGTCGAAGGAGGTGAGCGTGGAGGTGGAGCAGCCACCGGCGAAGGACTACAGTGACCCGCCGCCGGCGCCGCTGCTGGACTTTGGTGAGGTCCGCCTCTGGTCTTTCTACCGAGCCCTCATCGCCGAGTTCGTCGCCACCCTGCTCTTCCTCTACGTCAGCATCGCCACCGTCATCGGCCACAAGGAGCAGAACGCGGCCGACCAGTGCAGCGGCGTAGGCCTCCTCGGCATCGCTTGGGCCTTCGGCGGCATGATCTTCATCCTCGTCTACTGCACCGCCGGAATCTCAGGTCCTCCTTCATCCACCTCGCCAGCTTCGACCCACCCATACTAAACCGATCTGCTCGTATGCTCATAACTTGCTTGGGTTTTCAGGAGGACACATCAACCCGGCGGTGACGTTCGGGCTGTTCCTAGCGAGGAAGGTGTCGCTGATAAGGGCGGTGCTGTATATTGTGGCTCAGTGCTTGGGAGGCATCGTCGGGGTGGGCATCGTGAAAGGGATCATGAAACACCAGTACAACTCCCTCGGCGGCGGGGCCAACGTGGTCGCAACCGGCTACTCCAAGGGCACCGCCCTCGGGGCGGAGATCATCGGCACCTTCGTCCTCGTCTACACAGTCTTCTCCGCCACCGACCCCAAGCGCAGCGCCCGCGACTCTCACGTCCCCGTACGTACCAAGAACATATCATGCACATGAGTTCATCCGCATCTGCCACTAAATTTCTAGTCTTTGAGCTCTTGCACAGAGGATGTTCATATTCGAGGTAATTCCTTGCAGGTGTTGGCACCACTTCCCATCGGGTTCGCCGTGTTCATGGTACACCTCGCCACCATTCCCATCACCGGGACTGGCATCAACCCCGCTCGGAGCCTTGGCGCCGCAGTCATCTACAACCAGGACAAGGCCTGGGATGATCATGTGAGTCTATAAATCGACAGATTACATGAGTTCCTCCATCTTTGTGGTTGTTTGGACGTAGGATGACTGACTGTGTTCTTCTTGATGGTTCATGCAGTGGATCTTCTGGGTGGGTCCGTTCATCGGAGCGTTGGCCGCCGCGGCGTACCACCAGTACATCCTGAGAGCAGCCGCCATCAAGGCTCTGGGCTCCTTCAGGAGCAACCCGAGCAACTAAGCCCTCTCCTACCCGCATGCAGCGGCCGGAGCCCCCGCTACCTCTTTGTTTTCCGGTTTCATTTGTGGGGGGTTGATTCTGATTTCCCTTCGTTATTTCCTTAGTTTCTTCTCACTCGCTCATCTTTATTCTTCTTCTTCTTCTTCGTCTTGTGTAATGTATGGGGGGATGTGTGGTCCTTTGTTTAATTCAAGTTCTGGAAATTATGTTCGTCTTGTTGTCTCTTAGCTTAATCATCCATCGTATGTCTGTAATCTGCTCATAATTGGCTTAATTATTAAAGGAGGAATTGTTCTCCAGAACATTCCCCGGCTCGACCCACCGTGTCCTTATCCTTCTCCATGTGGTCCTCCACTTGCATTTACTATACTCCCCGAAAAAATAATCTTTCACTTTCTTTACGCAAAAGAAGACGAGTAAAAACGAAAATAAATATTAAATGAGAAATCGTTTGCCTCGAACAAAGTTGAAAGGCAGGCTATTCACTGCTCCCAACGACCGTGCCACAAAGAGAAGTGTACTCGGTCATTAAAAGCTCACACGCTGTAGAGGAGGCGGCAGCTCGCTCTGTAAAGCTACCCGAGGCGTGCTGCACTTGGCCTGCAGCTTTGGGAGGAAAAGGAGAGGAGAGGGTGGCATGGCAAAAGTCGGGTGAAGGAGATAACCAGGACAGCTCGTTGGCTTCTTCGTCCAGCGCTGCTGAGGAAGGTCTCTGATGGCACAAAGGGTCGTCCTTGAAGGCATGGTGGGCATATATGTTGGACTGCCATTGGAAGCATTTGCCCAAAGGTCACATGGTCATTTGTCACCTTATCCCCACCGGTGGTGGTGGCGCTTGCTACATGACCACATCATTCCAGAGTGTCGTGTCCTCCCACTGTTCCTTCAGAATTGGTGACCACTGTTGTTTCTTGGAAGGCTCCTCGCAGTAGTGCAGTAAACATCAAACAACTGGCCACCATTAAAGAGAGAACTCTCACTCATACACCCCGAGTTCTACATTTCATGCCTCAACACAACGCATCAATCAATCAACCTGTGCAGTGGCATATTAGTGCACAAAAGTTGCAGTGGAATGGAGCTGTTTAATTTATACTGAATAAGATTCTGATGAAGATGATTAGATATAGGAGTCCAAGATGAAGAAAGGACAATTACTTGTTCCCAATTCAGCTGTTTGTGTCACCAAATTTGTCTACCTAGACAATGTTTTGAACAGAGGTAGAGGGTCTTTGCAAGATTGCTGCCTTTTAAGGAAGGATCATGAAGGGTTTAGAGTTTAGAAATTTGGGGTTTCGAGAGTCATGTAAGAGGTGGGGTTTTGGGTTTCTCTGTTGCGTGCAAAGATCATGAAATAGTCCGGTGACTTAAAAGTAGAGCAAAACGAAATGAAAATGATTGATAATAGTCTTCAACCTATGCTTGTTGCTGCTACACAAATTTGTTCTTTTATCCAAACCAAATTTAGCTACTTTAGTGTGACATAAACTTCTTTTTTAATTGAGGGTTTTGTTCTTGTTCTAATCGTCTTTACGGATTTGAGCCATAACGAGAAGCATACAAAATGAGACTTAATTGCTCCATACGACATGTATGATCATATCTAATTAGATAATATATATTATAGATATAAATAAATTTTGATTATGATTATTGATCAATATAAATCTAATTATGATCAGATTCTTTAGGAAATAATCTTAATTAAAAAATTTTCTCATTATTTATATTAGACCTTTGGTAGGTAAAAAACATATGATTAATGAGAGATTATAAATTTTTTCATATCTTTCTTTGTTTCTAATTAATCGCTCATAACAATTATGATACGAAGGATAAGGATAGGAAGAGAAGACATGACAAGTCTAATTCTCCAAGTGTTGTTGTAGCTTTTTAGATCCGATACGCTTGTAGATCAGATAAAAGCTTTATGAGTAATATCGAAAGGTATATTTGATTTTAAAATTTAATATTAAAATATTTATATAACAGTAATATAATCATATTTTTATGCTTATAAATATGAGCTTAAATTACATTCATTTATAGATAATAAAATTCATGATAATAACTTGTAGATTCCACCTTGTTGATACTGGTCATTCATCAGCCGTGACAATGATCGATCTGAAGCACACCCAAAACTAGTTTATGTTTAATCACTGAAGTTATTGTCAATGTTACTCTCGATAAAATACATCAAGCATAAATTAGTTTGAATTCAAGCGACACTAATGAGATTTAATTATCTGAGCGCTTGATTAGATTCCACCAAGATCTATCTAATATCGGGGAAGCATTTTAATCTTGTGTGCGCACGCTCAAAGTCATCCTAAATCCTTGCTTAAATAGGATTTCATATTAGTTATAACATCAATTCAGTAAAATCTTTTAGGTTAAGAGTCATGTATAATTCGATTCTTTCAATTTGTAGAGATTTATGATTATCTTTTCAATTCATCTTTCTTTATCTCATATGCATAAATATATTAATAGTTTTCCCCTTACTTTTATTGTTTTAAATTTTATTAGTATCTTTTTTTGATACTATGTTGTGGTTCACCCATCCATATATATTTGTGGTGATATGATTAATATTCATTGAGATCAAATTTTGTCCACTTAGCTCTAGTATTATGTTAAATCTAGTAATGATGAGCATCAATCAATCATAAATCAGGCTAGATAAATATTTAACATAAAAACTTAATTTTTTTTATTATGAGCCAAATCTAATATATGTAAGATGACTCTTTCAATTATTATTATTATTATTATTATTATTATTATTATTATTATTATTATTATTATTATTAATTATCATCTCACATGCATATAGATACGAAGTCTCTCTCGTTCAGGAGGTTTGAACTCGAACCAACGTGGATGACGGATGGGTTGGGAACATCGTTCCTCGCCATCCTATCTTCCCGCACAGCTCCATCATCAACTGCGCTTCCACCCACCGTCGAACAATTTCCTACGAGATAACATTGGCGGTCGAACAATTTCCTTCAAGAATGCTCAGGCGGCAATTGGCCGAGCTCTTTTAGGCTTCGCTTTGCGGGCCTGAAGTTTGGGGAAGGTGACACATCAAATTGGGGTGCCGAATCACCGTTGCTCGCAGAAGTGGAAGGATACGGAAATCACTGGAGCTCTTTAGGGAAACACAGCTTGTGCAAACATGGCATCCTTGACGCACGCCAAACCTGCCCGCTGCGTCGCTCTTCGAGAGGGCTTTCTCGAGGAGGAAGTGCAAACATGAGTATGCTCGAGCCATCTCTGATGCCACGCCATCAAGGAATGTGGGGTCTTGGGTGGATGGTGTGCAATGGATGGGAGGGCCAACGATGCAATCGAGTCGTTCCTTTCCGTTCCACAAAACACCAAGTCCATGCCTATGAGGCGTTCGCTTTAATGTCTGCTATTGGGATCCTGAGATTACACTTATAAGAAGTCCATGCCTATAAGGTGTTCGCTTTAATGTCTGCTTGGGATCCTGAGATTACACTTCAGCGGGGTGATGGCGGCAGATGGCCTGTGCGTTATCGTGTTCAGCGAGAGAAGTAGTTCCGCTAGATGCAGCGAAAGCATTATTAGAGAAGTCTCCTTGGCCATGCAAGAAGGCTCGATGCGGCATATGATCAGATAAGAAAGATGCAAGATTGCAAAATCTTGAAGAAAATTTTCTTCTATAGCTAATGCTCGATAATAAGCCTCGATGTTGCTGATGGTTTCCGTGGCCTTCGTGGTGAACGAAGAAGCCCTAATATTTAGCTGCACGCATCATCAATCAAAGCCTACTGAAACAGTGTGAGCAAAATATGGAGCAGCGAAACAATTAATACTATGCATTCTAAAGAATTCTTCCGAGCCAGTAAAAAAAATACAACACTATTCCTACTTGCCGCGGCTTGAAGATCCAAACAGCCTCACCAGGTGGTTTTGCACTTGCGACCAGGAGAAAGATGTGAGCCACTCCATCGCCTTCCTCATGTTTCAGTCAGTGCCTTGATCTCGATGCATATCAATGCCTGTTCTGCCTGGCGTACAACCGATGCCCCAAAATCCAGCAACCATGGACGCACACTAGGCCATCTTTCTGAACTCGAACCAGATCTCGTAATGGCTGAACAGCAAGCTGTCGTGCGTGTGCTTCCTTACATACTCCAACCCCAACTTCGAGAGCCTCTCGGTGCACACGTCGCCGCCCAGTCGTGAACAGAACTTGATGTTGTGAGACACAAAGATTCGACCTTTCTCCGGCTTCAGCCTCCCCGACAACCTCTCCAGCCCCTCCCAGACCAGCGCGTCGGGCATGTGGAGGAACACCGCGCTTGCATATATGAGATCGTAGACAACATCGGATCCGAATCGATCGAACTCCATGTCCTCCCCTCGGAGAATGAGAGGCCGCTTGTGGAGGAGGCCCTGGGAAGGGAGCTCGTAGCGGAGCGCGGCCATGAGGGAGAGCTCGTCTCGCTCGAGGCAGTGGAACCTGGCCGCGTCGAGGTACCGGATGAAGTGGAGGCCGACCCGGAGCGTGCCGCACCCGATCTCGAGCACATGGTCGGCGGGCGCGAGCCAGGCGGCGGCAGCGAGGAACTCGAAGACGTCGCGGCCGCCGGCCCACGGCTCGCCGTAATTACTGTGGTGCTCCTCCACCAGAAGCTCCCCAGGGCATGGGAGGGCCGTGTGGTTGCCGGCATCGTCGCCCTCGTAGTGAGAGACGCCCTTGAACCTGCACAAAACCAATGAAGATCAGACATTCCAAAAACGACTGGAATCAAAGTGAGGGGTAGGATCGAGCGACGGGGAGAGGAATCCACCGGCGTAGGTCTTCGAGCTGCTGGGCGCGGGTGCGGGGGTTGATGCCTTTGCGGAGAGAGTGCCAGGCGGCGGGGGAGGACGGGGGTTCTTGGATGGAGTTGCGGGCGAGTTGAGATTTGAGCCAGGCGATGTCGTCGGGCGTGGGGGAGATTGGATCTGGAGGCCTTGTGGTCGCTGCGACGGCGGCGGCGGTGGTGGGGCAAGAGAGGGAGGGAGCATTGGAGGAAGAAGGGGAGAGGGAGGGGAGGAGGAGAAAGAGGAGGAAGGCGGCGGCGGCGGTGAGGATGAGGAGAGAGGCGGGAACGGTGATGCCCTTGGAGGGGGGAGTCGCCATCGGATCTAGTTTGGCTGCACGAGACGCGGCACCGACACACAACAGGTAGCGGTGAGAACCGGGTTGGCTGGCTATATACAACGCATGATGTGTACGTCAAAGTCATATACGCGCCCATGTTGACTTGGGGAGGAGTCGCTCGAGGAAAGACATTTCATCGTGTTGAAACGAGTTTCTCGAAGGAAGAAGCATTTAAGTGCAGCATGTTTGCTTAGAAGATTCCAACAAGTGATACTTCCAAACATCTCTAAAATAAGTTGCAAAGAATAAATATATTTGTGTGTAGATTGGATATGCATAATGGAACAATGTAGCTTTTGTTGTTCAAAACGTATACCACAAAGTAATATATGCCCTGATAACATCAAAGTAAAATATTTATACGCGTCACAAGATCTGTGTATCAAATGGGAGTCCATTCTTTGATCTCAACATCTCACCGAGTATTGAGAGAAAGTTTCACGTCATAGGACAAACTCAAAGTATCATGACAAGTCATTGTTGATCGAAACATAATTGGCACAACAACTTGCCATAAATGAGTGCATCAAAACAAAATCTCTGTAAAAATGGAGGAAAGTCACCGATCGTCGTCTTCATTCACGAAGGGAGGGAGATATTGGTGAAGGGCTGGCTTGATGCCATGTTAGAATGAAAGGAGAAGAAATTTTTTTTTTTTATTGATTATATATTTTATGTATATCATAATCCTATTTATAGTGTTAAAGATAATCAAATTAATCCTATAAACTAAACTAAGGAATAAAGAGATATCAAATCCTGATAGAAATCATGAAAAATATATTAGACATATCAAGGTATATATGAATTCTCTTTCATATAGTGTTAGGGTTAGAGTGACGTAGCATCTTATATGGCTTATTCGTTAGCACTTCATACTATTATTATTGTCATTTGCTCAACAAGGTCTCCTCATTATGTGATAGAACTATTGATCGACATATATTCAAGCTAAATAGGTAGAACAATCCGATATCAACCGATGATAATTCCAATCGATAGCAATTCTAACTATTGATAGCTTCAAAAAATATAAACCTCTCAAATCACAATAGTTCATGGCCTCGAATGCTTCGTAACCAAATTTGCCGATCTCAATAATTTAAAATTCGAGAATGTTGGGGGCATTGGTTAATCCAAATCTATTTTCCAAGATCTCAATAATTTAAAATTCGAGAATATCTTTTGTTGGAAGGAATGTTGGGGGCATTGGTTAGCCCTACCATCTCTAACAGCACTGACAACCACGATAAATTCCTATAGAGACCTTCCACACCCTAATATAGCAAATATAAACCTACGTTGAGATAGTTCAAACAATTATTTCCTATCTATCACAATTTTGCCATCTAGCTCATCAAATCCGGCATGCATTCATCCTGTTAATCCTAACCCCCACTCCACCACTAGTAGTTATTCATAGTCTAGTAGATGAAACTTGTGCAGCTCAAACTCAAGCATTACTTGAGGTACCTTCACCATCGTCGGCTCAAAACCTTATTCATCCAACTCAAGAATTCTTGAGACTATCTTGATTAGATGGATTAAGTAAGACAAACAATATGAGGTAGAGTCATACTTACAATATTCTTTTTATAAGTATATGGATCAAATTAAAAGATTCAACGTACCAAGATGAGACTCTTTTTTATGGAGACAACTATTTCAGATGCATAATTTTAACATGAAAAGATATATGAATAAATCATGATCAATTATCCATTAGATTCTATTCATTTCTCATTGTTAATTGGTTATAATTATCCCAAGCTCTATATTAGATTGTTTTTTTCTTTGACATTCCTTGTATATTTTTTCCTGATTCCTACAATATCGTCATCAATTTATAAAATTAATTTAAATATATTTTTTTATCTTATAAACGAGGTGATACAATCAATAAAATAAAATTTCTATTTCTTCTCCTTTCATTCTAACATGCTACCACATACTTTGGACCACAGCAGAGACACTTGTAGTTGGCTGAATGTTGTGGTCTCACTCACTGTTCTCATACAAGAAGTAGCCACATGAATCCATAAATGCAATCACCGTTTCACCACAGATTTTGAACTTGTCATACAACTCCTCATGACCATTAGAGTTAGGTTGAGAAGGCATCAAATTTCGAACTTTACCCTAACACAGGCCGAGCCAACAAAAAAAAATACACATGGATTCTATAAAACAAATAAATAAAAGGAAGCTCATGACACACGCAATGATATTAGGATGAACCACACAACACAAGCATCTATACATTATCCAAGGCCTGTTGCAAAGCAGCATTGACAGCACAAAGTAGTATGGAACTCAAACTTATGATCATTGATAGATATCCCAATCGATGTCAATGTTGGAGAAAACCTCATAGTCAGTTGGTCCATCCACAAAGCTACCGGCGGTCTGAATTCCTTCCAACAAAGATGGCTGAAAACTATCGGTTCTCGAGGGGAGCATTTTGTAGAACAACACCAATCCTAGAGTAAAGATGGCCTGCAGCTTTGTGGAGTCACCACGGATTGAGAAGAAAAACAACATGGACAGAAGAAACAAGACTACACAAAAATGCATAATGCATAAGACCCTGTCCATCAGTTTCCCGTCGTTACCAGCTGGGAATCCCTGAACTCTGTACACAAACAAGAAGTTATACTTGTCCACTATGTATCGGTAGCCAAAGTAGATGGCACCTACAGGAACCACGAGCGGAGCAAACAAGGAATAGATCATGGTGAGCGCAAAAATTGTGAGATTAAAAGCATAGTACT